ATGCCTCTCTCGGTATGGTCACAACACCCTCCTCTGCTGTCTCTAGCAGCTCTCTGGGGCCACACAGCCCCCGTGTCACCCCAGAGACACCCATCAAGGCCACCAGCAGTTCCCGTGACCCAGCCTTAGAGGATTCCAGCACAGACACATGGGAAGCCACAGCCATGTCCTGGAAGAACACCATCCCCTCCAGCAATGCCATTACACCAGCTGGCTCACCCAGCATTGACACCTCCATGGTGACCAGGCACACCACGGTGTCACCTCCTATGGCAACGACCAACAGTGCTGCCCAGTCTCCCTCTGCTATGCATGATGTCCCCACTGCCCTAAGAGTGACAAACCACAAGGCCACCTCTGCATCTACTGCCATGTCCAGCCCTGCTAAGGGCATACCAGCAGCCAGCAGCCCCACCAGAGCAGCTCCAGGCTTAGGGGCACAGAGTGGACCAATCACAGCACCAGGGGCATCCACTTATGCCACCCCCCAGAATCCCATGTCCAAGCCTGGCACTGAGCTCGGTAAGTCGATTTTCTTCCCCTTTCCCAACGTGAAGGAGAGAAGGGGGCCCTCAGCCTTATTTTCCCAGCTTAAGGGAGAGAATTCACTTAATACATGCTCAAGTTCTTGCCCAGCCCCTGGCCATGCTCTTACCCCGGAGGCGATGAGCATCTGCAGGCACACCCCCCTCACCATACGTGCCAGGGTTCACATCAGGTTCATTATTCACAGCATTCCAGCCCAAAATCGGAAGAGTCACCGAGACTGAAGTGCCTCATTTCCTTCAGTTGCAATCCCTGCCTCCTGAGTCACCACAAAGAAAGCCAAATTGGGTTAAATATCATGATGGCATTTTGGGGGGGTTGGGGGGGAGGGAGAAGGCATCCTTGAGGGTGACTCTTGGGATTCCACCCGGGATGGGGGACCCACCACCAAAATCACACCCCAGGGCGAGGAGGCAGCTGAGCAGAATGAAAACTGGAGCAGAAGTTAATTGTTTCTAACCTCCCCCATTAATGTCCTGCCTGTGTCAGTCCCAGCAGTGTCACTGTACCCATTTGGCGCAGCGGAAGGGGACACAGAGTGCATCCAGAGAACAGTGGACTTTAACTCCCCATTGCTGGAGCCCGAGATCGGGTTCCCCTTGGGGAAGGCACTGCGGGACACCCTCTACGTGAGTTCTTATGCCTATATAAGGGATGTGCAGCCTGTTCAGTAGGAAAAAAAAGAAAACAAACAACCCACACAAATGGGACAGAAACCTGATTTAATTTTTCACCACCTAAAATTGATTTTTTTCTTCTTGGATGTATGGATGCAACCTAACCTGTCATTCTGCTCAGTTTACAGACAATGGACAAATCATTTTTCCTCCCACGGACAACCACGTCCCCTCCAGCCCCCACCCCCCTTCCCAGGGCTTCAGTGGCCATGAGGCTTTACCCGTGGTGGCCGCCTTTTGGGGCGATGCGGATTTCTCTCGTGGTGTTGGCACAACCTGGTACCAGGTCAGGGTCATTGGGCACCTACAGGCTGTGACCCTGCTGCCTCCAATCCTCACCCACTGAAACCCCCCTGCAACCACAGGAGTACCCCACCCTCGGCTCCATCCGAGATCCTATTATCCATGATGTGGAAGCAAAGATTCAGAAATACATGCGGGTGCCATACTCTGCTAAATGGACCCTGAAGGTGACGTGGGACAAGGCTCCATCGTACCCGTCCCAGCTGGATGATGCACAGGTGACAAAGAGGAACTGCCACTAACAATGGATGGGGCACAGCAGTGGGGTGCTGATGGGCCTCTATGGGTTCCCCAGACCAACACGTACCAGGCGGTGCTCTCCACTGATGGCAGCCGCTCCTTTGCCTTGCTGCTGTACCAGGATGGTGGCATGCGGTGGGACTACGCCAGGCTGGCAGCCAGGGATGCGCTCATCGGCTTCTCCAGGTGCTGTGACCTTGTGTGTGTGTCCCCAGAGATAGCCCCAGCTCTCTCCTCTAGTGTAGCCGTGTCCCATTTCAAGCTTCACTCTCCAAGGATAACCCACAAAGCTGCCCAGCCCCAACTGGAAACCCCTGCCCACAGTGTACTGGGTGCAGGAACATAACCCTAACCTAACTCTAACCCTAACCCCAGAGCTCCTCTCTTTACCTAGTGGTGATGGCTATGCCCTGAACAGTGAGCTGACTGAAGAGCCACCAGCTGTTAGGTACCGTCCAGACCAGCACCGCAGCCCCGGCACTGGTATGGCACCAGGGGAGATCTTCAATTCACTGCTGGGTGGGATGGAGGCTGTTGAGACCCTTTTTTTGCACAAGCCCCACTGCAGGGTTTCAGTGGTCGCTGCAGTCCTGCTGTTCTTTTTTCCTATTGCTCTCCAGATGTGCGTGGGCTGTGGCTGTTCCGGCTGGACAACAGCAGCCGGGTGAACTCCAGGCTGCAGTGCCTGACGTGGCTGCAGGCACAGCCACCACCGTCCACCTGGAGCATGGAGCTGCCACCCTGCCCCTGCTCACGGCCCCAGGCAGAGCTGGACCCCCGATACCGCCGGAGCAGAAGTGCTGAGTCCCCTCCTGCACCTGGGGTGACCACTGTACCCCAAAATACTTCAGATCTCTTTGTGACGGTGCTGCGCACCACATCCCCCAGCCGGATGGGAGCTGGGGTGCGGTGTGTGTACCACGGCACAGGGTTTTTGGAAGGATGGCAGGAGAGATTCTGGAGCCCACCCAACAATCCTTCAGACAGTGAGTGGGCACCGCCTTGTCCCGGCCCGAAAACACCCACAGGGTCTGCCTACACTCTGCAGGAACAGTGGGACCCACATATCCCCAACACCCAACCACTGTATCCCTACAGACCAAGAGCTGGAGGCGTTTGAATGGTGCTGCCGGCAAGTGGGGAAGCCTCATTTCTGCACCAGGTACAGCGAGAAGAGACCAAGAGCTGGCTGTGAGGGATATGTGCCACCCACCCCTGGTAGGTCCCCTTCCTCTGTGGTGGGGCACTGAGCAGATAGCATGGCCATACCCATGTAGGCTGTGGTTTGCAGTATCCCAGTGGAGACTGTTGAGCACTGTGGTTTGCTTTCCTCCACGCAATGATACCAGCGCTTGCTTTCCTTTCCCTTCTCAAAACGACTCCATTTTCCTTCGGACCCTAGCCAATGCCTTTGGGGACCCCCATGTCACTACCCTGGATGGCCTTACCTACACCTTCAATGCACTTGGGGACTTCATGCTGCTGCTGGCCAGTGATGCTCACACCAGCTTTGTGCTGCAAGGGCGCATGGCCCGCACCGGTACAGCCCGGGCCACCAACTTCATGGCCTTTGTTGCCCAGTACACCTCCAGCACCACCACAACAGTGAGTAGAGCTACTCTCTGCACCCATTTTGGTAAGTGTTATCTCCCATTGTCACCAAAGCAGCCCTTGAGAGGGCTCTGAGCCTGGAGCCAACATGTTGCAATGGTCAACCGTTGGTGATCAACCAAGCAGTGGTGGTAACCCAGATGTGCCCTGTGACAGTGGCAGTGGAGAGCACTCACCATCCTTACCCATGCAGCCATCAAAGCTGTGTCGTCATGTGTTTGCTGGGGCAAAGATTATGCCAACACATCTTCCAGGATGAACACCTGTTCTGGGGGAGGACAGCGTCCAGCAGTTTGTCCTCTGCAGGGGGTGGGGAGGGACAAGCAGGAGGGACATCCTGAGCAGTTATCCATTTGCAGGTTGAGTGGACCTTGGGGAGCTCTAATGAGGTACAAGTTCTGCTGAACTATGAAACCATCCAGTTTTCCTACTCCCAAGGTAAGGGGGACATGGTGTTAAATGTTAATTGTATCTGAGGAGGATCAGAGGTGTACCCATCCCATAGGGACTTGGCCAGTGAGGTTGGGAATGCTCCCCTCTCTGAATTCAGAGACATCATTTCAGATCTCAGACTTGTGTGGGCTCCTTCTGTGTCTTCTTTCGCAGACATGGATGCTGAGGTGTACTACAGCCCCAGTGTCCTGCTGGTCAACACCTCCTCCATCACAGCCATCTTTGATGGGACCATCTCCATCTCCGTCTCAGCCAACTCTGGGATGCTCAGTGCGGTATGCAGCCTGCTGGAGCAGTACCATAATGGCACCAGGGGCCTGCTGGGTGAGGACTCTGCCAGCATCCTCTCACCTGTCCTCCAGCACTGCTGCAGGGCCAGGGGCAAGGTCCCCTTCCCACCCCATAGCTGCTGGCAGACACTGGGGACTCCAATCCCACAGTGAATTTCCATCAGGTGTATGGAACCATAACCCAGCAGATGACTTCCAGATGCCAAATGGAACTAACATTCCTGTAAACAGCAGTGAGGAAGATATCTTCAGCTATGGGATGACCTGTAAGTCAGAGCTTGGGAACCAGCCTGGCCATCCCACGCTCCGGCACCTTCTGGCCATGCGCTGGCTGGAGAGGCTTGGACACTGAACAAAACTAGTGCCAAGGGAGCCCTTCAATTTCTTTACCACCGCATGGAATCCAGCCCTAAAAAGAGCTAGCGTTAAAAACACGAGGTCCTACTCATGATGTGCTCTTTTGCAGGGGCTGTTGGAGAGCACAGCCTGTTTGCCCAGCCCCTGGCTGCACCAGTAACAACCTTCAACCCCATCTTCTTGTCTCAGCTGCGACAGGAGAGCAAAACCCAATATCAGCTGGCAGCCTCGCAGTGCCACGGCTGCAGGGAGTGCATCTATGACATGCTGAGCACAGGGGATGTGGCCCTGGGCTTGGCCACTCAGAGCCTGGTGGAGGACTACCAGAAGAGAAAGGCAGCACTTGGTAAGTGGGGTGTGGGGAACTGGAAGAGCCCTGCTCCCTCTCTGGGGCTATATGAGGCAAGAGAGATGCCACCAAGTTCTTGAGTTGCAGTGCACGGCTGGCTCATCTCCAATCCTGGGAGATGCCACCAGTCTTGAATTGCATGGCACAGCTGGCTGGTACTCAGGCCTGGGAGATGCCACCCAGAAGGGATTTTATTGGGTGGCCATGGCTACATCTGCCCAGGGCCACCTCATCACTGCGAGGTACACTGACCAAGAGATGCCAAGAACTCTTGGTGAGCACACAGGGCTGCTCTTCCCTCAGATTCCTTCCCTCCCGTGATCACCGGCAGCCCATTGCTCACAGCATTCAGGACAGAACAAGTCACCAGGCAGTACCAAGCTACGGGGCCGGGTGTACGCTTTGTCCCTCACATCTCATCAGAACTCAACATATCAGGTAGGGATGGAGAGAAGGGACAGGATGGGGCAGGACGGGCAGCGCACAGATGTTGGGTTCTGGATGGAACCCCTCCAGGAGGGCTGGGACGCAACCACTACCACGTGCCCCCTCCTCCTCTGATTCCTGCAGAGAACGGCATGCTGACATGGGAGCCCCGTGGGACAGCCCCGCTCAGCATCACCCTGCAGGCTGTCAGCCCACACCTCCCCCCAGCCCTCCTGCAGCTCAGCTTCACCCTGTGCAGCTGCCGCAGCATCCAGCAGTGTGACTACAGCAGCACGACCACCATCGCCAGCTCCTCCTTGCAGGTAGCAAAGCTCTGGGACGTCTCCCTCCACCAGCCTCATCCCATCTGTTCTCGTGTCCCCTAAGCTAGTGTCACAATCCCTTGGCAGCTGGCAGCCTGCAGGTGTGACGATGGATACTGGGGCCCCTTCTGCGAGCACTCACCGGACCCCTGTGCCCAGGGCTGCTTCCCTGGCGTGGGCTGTGACCCGCACACAGGCTGTGGTCCCTGCCCACCTGGGCTGACTGGCAATGGGCAGCACTGTGCAGGTGATGTGGGCTCATTATGGGAATGAACACTGGGGCCTCGAGGGGTTTCGCCCGGTGCCATGCTGCATTGCACTGCAGATATCGATGAGTGTGTGCAGAAAACGGCGTGCCAGGGGAACCTCACCTGCACCAACACTGTGGGCAGCTATACCTGCTCCTGCCCTGCCGATGCAGCAGGTGAGTGCAGGCATCCTGGGATGCACAGCTTTGTATGGGGTAACAAGCAGAACACCTTGGCTCCAAAAAGCAGTGTCTACCTCCTGCATCAAGTACTCCCATCCCACAGGGGAAGGTCTGGGATGTGGCACTGCCTGCAGGTCCCACTCCTGCCCTGAGGGCTTCTGCAGCAACGGGGGACGCTGCCGCCTGCACCCCCCTTCCTGTACACCCACCTGTGAGTGTCCCCCAGCATTTACCGACCGGCACTGCGTGGTGGCAGGAGGGGACTTTCTGCCCTTGGCCAGCGCAGGTGGGTGCTGTGTCCTACATGGGGCTGTCACCCATCCCAACTCACCCAGCCCTGAGACACAAAGGCACCAATGCAATCTTGTCCCCAGATCTGCCCCAGAGGAGCGTGCTGCTGTGGGTCAGGGCAACGCAAAGTGCCACAGCTGAGGAAGTCAATGCCACTGTGCGTAGTGGTGGGGGAGGGGCTGTGGCTTGTGGATGGGTGGGATGCTGCAGGTTGGGGTGCTGTTGCATTACCCCCCCCCCCCCAGGGATCCAGCTCCACGTGCCCCATGCCTTAGAGGCAATTGGGGCTGGGGTATTGGATCACAGCCCACATAAATCTCCCACCCAATCCCTTGGCACAGGTCTCAGCCATCCTGGGCTCTCTGGAGGTGAAGGCATTTTGGAGCAACACCAACATCACCTGCATGTGAGTGCTGAGCAGACAGGGCAGAGCTTAGAATACAAAGAGTTTTGCCCCTACGGATCTGCTTTTCCAGCCCCAGTACTGCTAAACCCTTACAGCAGTGAGCCCCCTCCCTTCTTTCCCCCATAAGTCATGGGGAAACTGAGAACAGCAGCCAGCTCCTCTCCCAGCAGGACAGCTGATGGCCTCACCTTTGCTGTGGTGGCCAAATTTACCTACAATAGCAGCAGCTTTGTCATCCAGCTCCTGAATGAGGAGCTGACAGTAGCCATCACCAATGCTTTCAACGGGCAGAGGGCACGGCGGGAGTTGGCACACTTTGCACACTTACACCTGGACAACATCACGGACCTGGTGAAATGTGAGTGCCCCAGTACCAACGGTGATGGGACTCCCGTGGCTGTCCCCTGCCATCCAATGCACCCTGGGGTTGTGATGGAGATGGTTTGGTGCTGATCGCCACCAAGGGGTCCTGGGGATGCAGCAGGCATTGATGCTGCCCCAAACCCCCATGCATGGACCCATCCCTCTGCAGTATCAGTGCCTGAGCTGCAGCATTACTTCTCCTGCTCGCTATATGGCTATGAGGGTTACCAGCTCGACTATGTGGAGACAAGCGGACTGATCTGCATCTCCCCCTGCAAGAAGGGCTACTGCCAGCACGGTGGCCTCTGCCAACACCTGCCTGAGGGTCCCACGTGCAGGTAGCTGTGACACTGAGGTGAGCGACACCACCCACACAGCAACCCCTCCCTGTATCCAAATCTCCATCCCTTCCACAGCTGCGTGCCCTTCTCCATCTTCTCCCCGGGCGGTGCTCACTGTGAGCAGCTCGCTGTCAGCCTCGCTGCTTTCATCAGCATCATGGTGGGGGCCCTGGCACTGCTCTGCCTCCTGCTCTCCACTGCCTGTCTTGCTGCACAGCTCTGCCGTCGGCATTGGGAGCCCCGGAGGTGAGCGAGGGACTGGGGCTGGGCCCATAATGTGGGTGCTGTGGGGCAGGGTGTTAAGAGTGGGTGTCAGGAGAAGCTTTGCCATGCTGAAAAAGTGGAAAATCCATCCCAGGTACGGGACAGGGGTGTTTTGGGGAAGGAGGCTGAGCTCAGCATCATCCACCCTATTTGCAGTTGTCTGCTGCAATGAGGAGTGACAGCTTCCTTCTCCATGTCTGAGAGCGGTCATGTTTCTTCCCTGTCCCACCCTGTGTTTGGTTACAGAAGGGCTTTCTGTTGATTTTAATTTGAATGCCATCCAAATGATTTCCGCTGAAATTCATGTGTTGCTGGGAGGAGCAGGTCTGGAGCAAGAAATAAAGCACATTGCAGGGGCAGAGCTGGCTGGGGGAGTAGTACCAACCCATCCCCATCTGCACCCTATCCTTGGTATGGGATGTGTGGGGTGGGAAGCTCTGCATCTGAGCCCCCAGTGTGCCAGAGCATTTGTTTGCATTTGGGACAAGGCAAGAAATGCGGTGTATGCAGGAGCTGGGGCTTTTCCTCCTCAATCCCTGTCTACAGCCCCACACTCAGTCAGTGCTCCCCGCATGGGGGGTTGAACACAAGACAGGGGCTCTCCTGCCCCACCGATATGTTGTCCCCATTCTGTCCTCCTCTCCTAGGACCAAGGGGACCTTCTGGAGAGAGCGGCCATTCTCCTGTGAGTACACTCCCAGCCTGCTTTGTAGCCCAGCTCTGAGCAACAGAACAGGCAGTGGAGTGTCCCTATGCTCCCCAGTTGTCCCCACAGTGCTCCCCCAGCTCTGATCTTTTTGCCCATCCCAGCTCTGATGAAGGCAGAAGAGGGGGCAGAGGCCTCAGGAAGGCTCTGGGAACCACAGCTCCGGACCATCGATCCGTCCATCCAGGTGTGCCAGGGGTCACTGTCCCTGTGTATGGGGCAGCACAGCAGTGTCCTTGTCCCAGGGCTCAAAGTCTGCTCGGGATGCTGGGGACAGCAGGATCTGCACTGCTGCCGGGGCTCAGTGCAGGGATTGTGCAACTAGAAGACCACTTGTCCTGTGCCCCTTTTTGCAGATGCGGTTCAAGAGACCCCACATCCTGCCTCCATGCCAAGGCACTGTGCAGCCCTAACATGCTCTGCTCCCAGCAGTGGGGCAACGAGGTAGGGCTCCGGGCATGGGAAGGGGATGGAACATACAGAGCTGTGGGACGTGGCTGTGCCACGAGGACATGGGTCACCAAAGCAATGGGATCTTCTGCAGAGGACCTGAAGAAGTGATTAGAGTCATCCATAGGAGTGTCTACCACAGAGTGTGCCCCAGCATGGTGCAACCAGACCCAGCAATCACACTGCATTATGAACAAATCAGAATAAAAATGAGATGAGGGCATTGTGCTGAGTGATGCGTGCACCCCCAGCTCTCAACATCAGATCACACAAGCCAGTCCCTGCTCCAAGCCCACTCCCATCCCACCCACCAGAGAGGTAGCTGCACTTCACTGGTGATGCTCAGACCCTCTGATACTTTATTGAAGGCATGCAACCTGACAAGAACTTTGGTGCTTTTGCAAGAATTCAGGTGTTCTCACGCACACAATATTATTTTTCTCCTATTATTTCCAATCACAGGGTTGAATCAATGCAAGGTGTGAAGGCCCAGATGCTGGGGGCTAAAATCCCCTGTAGTGCCAGCCTCAGGCAGGAGAGCAGGGGCAAGGAACATGATGACAGTGCCTGTTCCATCATTGAGGGAGCAGAGGCATGCAGGGGACACATAGGGTACAAATGGAAGTGAAGGGTTTGGAGGATCATCCACGGCGCAGAGTGTGTTGTGTGTATGTGACCTGCAAGTTACTCCTCCTCCTCATCTGCAAAGAAATAATAAGTAGTGAAACCTCATCCCTAGCCTCTCCAGGGTATGGGGTGAACCCAGAACCCCCTGAGCCCCTCACCTCTCTGCTCCTTCGAGTCGCTGTCTTCTGAGGAATCCTCTGTGGATTGCAAGAAAGACCAAAGCTCAGCCCACACCCACAAGTGCTGCCCGATACTCCACACATTTCCTCTCCTCTACTCCACACATTGCCCAGCTCCATAGTGCTGTGTGTTACACCAGCTCAGAGCACCATCCTCCTCCAAGCCCAAACCCAAACTCGTCTCAGGGCTTTCACTGCATTCACCATGGAGGAACTGGGATGTCCCCCTCCAGCCCTGGGCACATGCAGGCGGGGAACCCACCTGCACTGTGTGCCCGGTACCCATCGCATCCAATCCGTGGTCTCTTCTCGTTGTAGCGGGCACAGAGGCGAGCGCTCCCTGCTTGGTTGCAGCACCAATCATACAGCTTCAGCTCCTGGTCTAGGGGGAAGGAAACACAGCATCACGGGCTGGGAAGGGGAGGAGAGCGTGGCCATCCACAGTGTGTCCAGAGATGGGTTGGCACAGGGATGCTTCCCCCCTGCACCCCGGTGTCTGTGCTTACCACGATATGGGGATACCTGTCGGTACGCCCTCCAGTATCTCTCCTGCCGCCCCTCCACCAGCTGCCCCCGGCCATCGTACAGGCAGCGCACACCAGCACCGTGTGAGTTGGGCAAAGCAGAGTGCAGCATGGAGACACGAGCAGACCCCCAGCCTGGAGCAGGGATGCAATCAACTCATTTGGCACTCTGGGGACACCCGTGGGGGATGCCATGGGCATACAGGGGACACACTGGGAATGGTGGTGCCACTTACCTCCATGGCCACTCCTGAAGCGCCGGTCATGCTGGCCTTGCTGCAGGGAGCAGGGGCAGGCAGGCAGGCCCTGGCTCCATTCCTGTGGCTCCTGCTGCTGCCTCGTCCACGCCAGGCACTTCAGGCGATAGTTGATGCCCACACGGCTCTCCAGCTTGTACAGCCACAGCCCACGAAGATCTGAATGGGGAATGGGAGATGGGACCGTGGGCTGCTCCAGCAGAGAGAACAGATGCTGATGCTGTTGGGTCCCCACCACGGGACCCCAACACCAGGGGAATATTCAGGAAATGGGAGAGAGGCTCTTGCTGAGAAGAGATCTCCAAGAAATTGTATTGCACAAAAAAGGTATGCATCATTATGGAAAACCCCAAAGATGATCCCAAAGTTTAGCTTGTTTCCAGGGCATCACTCATATTCAGGGAACTCAGTTTATGTGTCTGGATGGGAATGGTGTTAATAGTAAATTCAGTGCCCCCCCCCGGCCTGGAGCTGTCCCCATGCCTGTGCAAAGCATCCCCCAGGCCATTTGTCTACCTGTATTGTAGCCTCTGTAGCGATCAGGGCGATATTTTGCAGCTGGAGATCCTTGGGTCAGGTCATCATTGCGGTAATACCCATCCCCACTGCACAGGGGGAAGGGGAACAGTCAGACATTGTGGGGTCACACCACCCCAGCATTGAGTCCCTGTGACACCCTGTACCTGGTGTAGCCGATCAGCACATTGGTGGCCGGCAGCTGGGTGTAGTCCCACTGCATTCCTCCATCCTTGTACAGAATCAGGACATAGGACCTGAAGCCATCAGTGGTGAGGACAGCCTGGTATGTGTTTGTCTGGGGAGAAGCACCAAGGGCAGGTAAAGGACTGAGCAGAGCTGATGGATTTACCATGAGGTAAACCTAATGAGGCTTCCTGAGAAATGGTACTTGGACACCCCCACCTCGTAGGCCCATACCCTGCGGCTGTCACCACGTGCCCCGTAGGCAGGTGCCTTCTCCCAGGTGATCTTCAGGGTCCAGGCTGCGGAGTAGGAGGACCTCAGATAGTGCCGGACCTTCGCTTCCACGTCACGGATGAATGGTGGCTTCTCTGAGTTCAGGGTGGGGAACTCCTGTGGGTTTGGGACACAAAGGGATGAGACCCCAGTGGGACCATTCATGATGCTGCAATCAGGCGTGCGGTTCCCAAGAAGGGAAATGCCACCCATCACCTGTTCACTCTGCATCTCAGGGGGAATCCATGAACAAAGCAATGAATGAGAACCATTTGAGTTGGAAGGGACTCTTAAAGGCCATCTGGCTGAACCCCCTGCAGTGAACAGGGACACCTACAACTCCATCAGAGCCCCGTCCAACCTGACCACAAGTGTCTCCAGGGTTGGAACACCCACCACCTCTCTGGGCAACCTGTGCCACTGCCTCAATCACCTCAATGCAATCACACAGAAGGATTGATTCACTGACCTGGTAGAAGGTGGTGCCGGTGCCCCTGGAGAAGTCAGCATTGTCCCAGAACACGGCGATCATAGGAACACTCTCATGGCCGGTGAATCCATGGGCAGGCGGGTTGGGGAGTGTGAAGATGCTGCTGTCGGAGGCTGGGAAGATGATCTGCCCGTTGTCTGTGAACTGTGCACAAGGGGATTGGGTTGGAGCTTTTCTACATCAGGGACTGGAAAGAGGTGCACTCAGGGCAGCATGGACTCACGTAGAGAGAATCACGCAGGGTTTTCCCAAACGGGAATCCGATCTCGGGCTTGAAAAGTGGGGAATTGAAGTCCACTCTCCTTTGCACATATTCGTGGTCATTCTCTCTCGCTCCATACCTATAGAAGGGCACCGCTGGGACTAAAAGAGAACAATAAAATTCAGAAAAAACGTTCTTATAGCAAAACCCCTTGGGCTGTGCCAACAGAAATAATTTTGCTTTCAAGGTGACACCGCCTGGGCAGCAGGAGGATGGGGGCACACCGGAACACCCCACTCCTGCTCCCATCCCTCTCCCTGCCCGAGCCCTGCATCACCCACCTGGGGGAAGTGGCGGTGGGGTCGGGGTAGCAGCCGGCTGTCCAGGAGCTGGGAGCATAGAGGATGATACATGGGAACCAACAGTGGACCTGCCGCTTGCCCCCAGCCCCATGAGCCCCATCTTGTCCCCAGGGCTGGAGGCTGGGCCGCAGGATACAGCAAAGAGTGGGGTGGCAGAGGTGGACCCTCTTTGGGCTCCCCCTGGGATCGGGATGTATGCAGGGGTGCTCACCCTACTGTCAGCCCCACGGGCTGGATTGGTGATGGTGGGGCCATCAGCATCCCCCCTGCCTTCAGCTGCTGCAGGGACCCCACGCTGGATGGGAGGCAGCAGCAGGGCAGCCCCACCTGCAGAAGCAGCTCCCCATTTCCCTGCTGCCCACTCACTTGCTGAAATCAGAGAGGAGAGCTGGGGACTGGTGGCTGCTCCCTCCTTTAGGTTTTCTCTTTCAGATGCAGAAGGCAGAGCTGGGGCAGCATTAGGGGCATGCTGGAGCTCTTCTCCCAGTGGAGCCAGCATCCCAGAAGCCGTCTCTTCCACAGGGGGCTGTGGCACTGCTGGGGGGCTGCTCCCACTCTGGGTACTGGAGGCAGAGGCGGGGCCTGCGTTGGGAACTGAGCTGTCCCCAACCCCCCTGGCAGAGGCAGACGCAGCCACCATCAATGGGCCGGAGGCAGCTGGAGCCACTGGGACCAGGGGCTGTGTCTCCTGGGGTGAGGTGGGGATGGAGGGGGACGACACTCCCGAGGCGATCTGGATGACAGTTCCCAGCCCGGTTCCCCCACTGGCAGGAGGTGATCCCTGGGCTGAGGCTTCCAGTTTGCCTCCAGCCAGCTCTACCACGTTGACTTGGCTGAGTTTGGCATCAGGAGGTCCGACATGGGCATTGCTTTGGGTGGTGGGGGGAAGGATGGGTATTTCCTTGTTGCTCTGGAGAGCAGCAGCCCCAAAGCCTGAGCTTGAGCCAGCTCCACCAGCTCTGGGGATGTCTGCTCCTGTATCTGCTCCAGCAGCTGCTTCAGGTAATGAAGATCCATCAGCAGATGGGGAGGAAGATATAGAGATCAGTGTAGAACCCTGCCTTCCATCAGAGGCTACAGCTGCTCCTGTCCCAGTTTGGTCCTGAGATTGCCCTGGAGCTTCTCCATCTGCAGAGACAGCCTCAGCTCCATCACGCACTCCTCCTGCAGCAGAATGGAGCCTGGGTGCAGCAACCAGGGAGGGCTGCAGAGCACTGGGAGCACCACCTGCTCCTCCCAAGACACTTAGACCAGCTGTATCTGAAGCAGAGGGAGCTGTGAGCACATCACTGGGGTAGGCAGGACTCGATGGGGACAGAGCAGCAGGCAGCAGCTCCATTCCAGCCTTCAGCCCAGTGCCTGGTGAGGAGCTCAGGGATGGCTCAAATATAGCTGCACTGCTCACTCCTCCCAGCACCTGCCCCTCTGCTCCCGGCGCTGTCAGACCTGTGCCAGGCTGCGCTCCAATGCCAGGAGAGGGTGGCCCTTCAGGTCCATATGATGCTGAGCTAGGGGCAGCCAGCACCGAACTAAATCCACTGCTTGGTCCCTCAGCCCCAGGGAAAGCTGTGTCCTCAGGAGCACTGACTGCTGTGTCCC